AATTGAAGCTATGAAAGCTATAAATCTAATAAAGGAATATGCAACAACAACAGTAACAACTACAAGAGCTATACTGCATATACTATAATAAACTATTTGTATTATTTTACTTTATTTTACTTAATATTATAATATGTATAAAATTATATTTTGTTTTGCGTCGAAATGACGTATGCGTCCAATTGTCGTTCGTCCAAATGGCCGCGTCCATTTGACGTGCGTCAAGATTGCCGTGTCGAAATGATGCATATTCCGGAAAGCCGACTGTGATAAGTTCCGACAAAGACTGGCGGAGAGACTGTTTGACGGTCAATCCAGCTAGTTGGAGGAGGACTTMCATTCCAGAGCGGATTACCTAACCTCGGCGATCAGCGAGGCTTGCAGGAAGTCGATGCCCTTGATGAAGTCGCGCGGGTTAGAGGCTCCTTCGTGGTTCACGGAGGAACTCGACACCCAGCGAAGATGTGTCAAGAGGCTAAAGTGGATGGTAAGCAAATCACGCGCCGGGGGATGCGAGGAAAGGACAGCCGCATTATAGGAGAAATATAGGAGAGAGAGAAACAAGTATCTATCACGAAGGAGAAAGAGCAGACGAGGACCTAGCGAAAGTTTACTACCGAGGAGGGTAACGAAAGGAAATGGGGGTCCGCCTACCGCTGGTGCAAGGAGGGCGCGAATACGGACTCACGCGGAGTGCTAGCCACTCTCCGAAAGGGGAATGGAGAGCGCACGCTGGGTTTGCAGGACACGCTCGACTTGCTGCTCGAATCATTGATTCCCCCAGATACGACTGAAGGTGAAACTGAGGAGCACAACAGAATCCGCGAGGAGACTGGAGTGCACTTGGATGAAACTGAAGGTCATATATGGGGAGAGGAGAACGAGGGCAACCAACGGGAGGAATTTACTCAGGAGGATGTGAAGAAGGCCATTTGGCGAATGGAAAGGGACAAAGCTCCGGGGGAGGATGGTATAACAGCCAGAATTCTCCGTGTAGCTTTCCCGGCGATGGCGGAAATAGTGACCGCTCTCTTCAACGAGTGTTGGAGAAAAGCTCGCTTTCCGAGGTCATGGAAGAAAGCAGTGGTGGTACCCCTATTGAAGAATTGTGACAAGGATAAGACGGATCCCAAGTCTTATAGGCCGATAAGTCTGCTCCCGGTGCTGTCAAAGGCACTGGAGTACCTTATCTGCGTGCCCAACTAGCACCAAAATGTCCATAGCTTATGAAATGAATATTCATCTTGGTCATACAGAATATTCATATCTTATTTTTGAATGGTCTATCATTCTTCTATCAATCTGATAATTTAATCCGAAAATGGTCAAATGCGCCACKTTTAATCATTCTATGAATATGCTATCAATGTGCAATACGCTATCAATAGTTTTGATGTATTATTCATAGTATATTAATAATTAATAATAGAATATTCTAAGTATATTCAAAATAKA